TGCCTTGAAATCTAGAAAGTGTTATAAAATATAAGATATTCTTATCATTATTTTAGAAGTTGTGTTTCTTGTAAATATGTGTGAATGTGAAGATGGCCACTCTTGTTGGTCATGATTTTTTCCCCGGGTAACCAGACTCATAAGTAAAAAATATGGTGTGATATCAAAAAATGAGGCCAAAGTCTTGTGCCAGACTCAAAAGCCTCACATTTACACATCATGAATATTTTCTTTCCACAGAAGACTGTGTATAAGGCAAATGCCAATCAACACTATTTTTTAAATGAAATTGACTATCTTAACAGATAAGAAAAGATTGGTTACAGATATAGCAGTCATTTGAGAATGAGATCTGCAAGTGCAGTTAGATTGTCGACTGATAAGAGAAAAGAATGAAGTCAACTTTGTCCTTTGGGAAAAAAGGATAAAGATAAAGGGTAAAGTATAAAAATAAACAGCAAACAAAGGACAAAAATTAAAAAAACCAAACCTGTGGTTATAGTTGCTCCAAACCAACCCATTTTAAAGAACTATTGATTTTTTTTTTATAGGAAAAGAGAAAAAATAGACATTGACTCTCATCTTTTCTTAGGGAAGTTGAATGGATGTCAATGGAACTCAGAAGCCACCTCAACCAAGAAGCATTTCTCCTTGCCAAGCAAAGACATACAGCAACCAAAGAATGCTCTAGGTGATCGCACACACTTATTTCAATCCATCAATCAACAAGCATTCATCAAGTACCAGCTATGTGCTAGGTACTGCTAAGACCTAAAGCGATAAGTATGCAATGAATGAGACAAGTCCTACTCACCATGAGCCTTCATTTACATGGAGGAGTTAACAAACACATACAACCCATTTATACTTCCTATAGTGTTTTAGAGGGATCATGCTTAGAGGACTGTGAGGATGGTGCTAGACTCAGAGTCAGGAGATTAGGGTTTGAATCCCACCTCAGATATTTCCTCACTTTGTGATTATAGGCCATTTTCTTAACTTCTCCAAACCTCAGTTTCATCATCTGTAAAATGAAGATAATGATATTTACATTACCTTACAGGGTAATTGTGAGAAGAATACCATGTAAACCTTAAAATGCTATGAAAATGAAAGTTATTAACATCTGAGATGTCTCTGCATTGATCAACATTCAATCAACAAACATTCATGAAATGCCTACTATGTACCAGGTATGTGCTAGACACTGGGGATCCAGATACAAAAGGGTGATGATGTCTGCCCTCAAGGAGCTCACATTCTACTGAGGGGTTATAACATGGTCAAAAATAAATAAATATAAGATGCATAGAAAATAAATGTAAAGTAACTTCAGAAGTGGGGGAGGGAAGGACACAAACAACTGGGAGAATCAGGAAGGGCCTCTTGAAAGAGAAGGAGGAGAATCCCAGGTATGTGAGACAACCTATGCTAAGGCAAAGAGGAAAGACAATGAAATGTCAAATATAGGAAATAGCAAGTAGACTGCTTTGGCAGAAGCATAGAGCTCATGATAAGAAGGAATATGGAATCAACATGGAGCCATATTGTCAAGGGCTTTAAGTGCCAAATAGGGGGCTTGTATTTTATTCTATTTACAAAGGGGAGCCAGGGAAGCTTCTTGAGCAGAGTAGTATAATCAGCTATGTGGCACAGTGGGTAGAGAGCTAGGTTTGATGACAGAAAGTCCTGAATTAAAATTCTTCCTCAGATACTTACTAGCTGTATGACCCTGGGCAAGTGCCTCTCAGTCTTAGTTTACTTATCTCTAAAATGGGTATAATAATAGCACCTATTCCACAGTCTTGTTGTGGGGAATAAATGAGATAGGCATAAAGTGCTTTGCAAACCTTCAGACACTATACAAATGTTGGCTATTATTAAAATAATTAGGAGTATGCTTTAGGAATATCAATTTGGCAACTACATGGAAGGTAGATTGCAGAGAAAAAGAGACTGGAGACAGTGACACCAAATAGTCTACTGTAGTAGTACATGAATAAGATGATTGGGTCTGCTGCTGGGATGGTCGAAGTATGGTGGAGAGAAGGGGATGGATATGAGAGATATTGAAGGGGTAGAATCAATAAGATTTGGCAACTGATTGTATATACACAGAAGCAGGGGTAGAAGGTTGGGTTCTACACAGTAAGTACTCTTGCCTTATTGCTGATATTCTCCTAGTGTCGTATTGAATTGAGGTGGGGAGGGGACAGGAGAAAAGAGACTGGGCCTATAGCAGCTGTGATTGGCTCTGCTTCTGACTCCCTGGATGGCCCTGGGTCCTAAAGCCTAGGGACTCCAGCGATAGTCTTAGGTTTCCCATCTAGTATGATACCTGGTAAACTTTACAAGTCAGGAATTTATTTTATGTACTTAGTTGCATCATCATTATTAAAGGGAAGAAAGGAAGGAAACAAATATTTATTAAGCATCTTCTATGTAGCAGGCATTGTGCTCAAGTGCTTTACAAATACCCCAGTTGTTACTCACAACAACCTTGTGAGATAGGTGCTAATATTATACCCAATTTACTTTTGAGGAAACTGAGACAGACAGAGGTGAAGTGATTTCCTCAAGGTCACACAGCTGGTAAGTGCCTAAGGGTGAATTTTAACTAAGGTCTTCTTGACCCTATGCATGGTCTAGCACCCCATCCATGACACCACCTAGCTGCTTCTAGGAATAGATAGAAACATCATCTCTTTGAAGAAATAGGTTGATTTAAAAAAAGATTACAAAATTGGAGATGAGATGTGTTATTTCGGGGAGGATTATACTAAATAACTTGCCAACTCTTAAAGCTAAGACTATTTTATCATGAAATATTACCCCCATAAAATATCACTAAATGATATTACATAAATTATTACCAAATGAATGGCATAATATCTAAGCCTCCCTGGAATCTAGTGGTAGAAACACAAATATAATGTTGAAAAGTATCACCTGATTAAAATTGGTACCTGATGCCTATTTCTCCTTTGATTGAATTAGGAATTTTAGCCTTATCCCTCTTTCTTTCTCAACATATCGAATTGTCCTTAATGCTCTGGATTTTTTTTTATCTATTCCATTCAAAATGAGCAATTTTATTTCCATCTATAATTAGTACCTCAGAGGCCATTAGGTGATTCAGCTAGGTGAACTCAGGAAGACCTGAGTTCAAATAAGGCTTCACACTTAATAACTGTGTGACTCTTGATAAGTCACTTAACCTCTGTTTGCCTCAATCTTCTAGGTTAAGGAAATGGCAAACCACTCCAGCATCTTTGCCAAGAAAACCCCATGGACAGCATCGGCATGCTGTGGCCCATGGGGTAACAACAACAAATTAGAACTTGCCTTTAACCAGTCATTTAGTGAAATTATTCTCTCCTCCCTCCTTTTATATAATCTAGGGCAGAATACAAGCAGTGGGGCATTTGAATGGCTATGAGAAAGAGAATTTAACTGGACCATGTGGCTATAGAGACTGGCTTGAGTGACCTTTGTTCTTTCTACTTCTTATCCTTGCTGGACCTTAGAGGTAATCTAATCCAACTCCTTCATTTTACAAGTGGGGAAACCAAAGCCAAAAGAAATAAGTGACTTGCTCAAAGTCACATAGATATTTAGGGACAGAGATGGGTCTCCTAACTCCTAGTCTAGGGGTCCTTGCACTCCACCACTTGAAAGGGCTCAGAGTAGAAAAGCCTTAGGGAAGAGAACTATGTAACTATTCTCAGCCTCAGCAGAACTCAGATTTTCCCAGGTTCTCACCATTCATACTAACATAAACTTGCCTTGTAGGAAAGCTGACACAAACCTGCACATGTCATTTATTGTGTTTGTTGCTGTCTTACTTTTAGTTTTTTGACTGAGCCTTCCTATCTTTTCAAAGCTATGCAGGGTCACTCACAGGCCCAACCCCATTCTGATCTGCCCAGGAGGTTTGACCAGCTCCATTTACAACCTAAGCTATTCATCCCTCTTTAGGCAATCTAGTGTCTCCCCTAATATATTAACGCCAAACAGTGCAGCCCACAGCATCTCTGAATCTTCTGACCTCACGAGATCCCCTAGCCTCAGCTACTCTGGTAGAAGAGGTTATAGGCATAGATGGTCACTGAAGTCTTACTTTTAAAGCAATTAAATATTAACTGTCACATATTCCTTGTGTTAACTGTGGAACTTTCTGTGTAACAGGTATATAAAATAGAGACTACATATGTGGGGGGAAAAAAGTTGAAGATACAGCTACAGAAAAAAATACTATTTAACAATATATTTAGAGTTAAATCAGTTTTATTATGAATTTTTCCAAGTGCATTTGAAAAATGTAATGCTACTTCTTGTTCTTTATCCATTTTTTAAACCACAAGATTTTCTAGCTTCATGAACCTTTCCTAGATTGGCGTAATTTTTATTGTTACACTGGATATCTCTGGTTGTCATTTTCAATCTACAAAGCAACTTTTATCACAAAGTAAGAAGTCTGAACAAGAACTGTGTCTACACATTCCTGATGCAGTAGACAATTGAGGCAATTACCTATTTAAAATATACAAAACCACAACTGCTTTTGCCTAAAATACCCAAATGATGAAAGGCAATCATTTCTTTCTTTTTTTCTTTTTTTGTCTTAAATTATTCAGATAGTGACTGTAAGTCTCCACTCCATTTTGTAGATCTAAAGAGATCTAAGGGAACTCAGATACAATGATCCATCTTGCATCTAGAAGACCAATGATAAAACATACTCCCCTCCTCTCAGTAGAGAAGTAGAGGACTCTCGGTATGGAATGCTGCATACAATGCCAGACGCAATCACTGTGTTGTTTGGTTTTGCTTAATTGTTTTTTTTTGTCATAAAGGAGGGTTCTCTTAGCAAGGAGAATTATTTGGAAATAACTGTGATATAAAAAAGCATCAATAAAACATTTGAAATAAAATAAAATAAAATAAAATTAAAAGACCTAAAATTTCTTACAAAAAAAAATGTATAGCTCATTGGCCCTTTTATTTCAAATGATACTATTTGCCTTACTGAAATTCATCTTCTGGGCCATTTTCATGACTGAAATGAATCAGAAGCCAGGATTCTTGACTTTCAATTATGCTGTCCTACTACACTCCCCCCCCCAAACCCCCAAGATTCCTTTCTTTGGAGAGTGCTTAAGTTTCCCACTAGTAACTATTGGGAGACAGGCTTAGAAATGAGAATGTTCTTGGTAAAATATCAAATTGTTTCTTCCAGCCTTTGGGAAGTTGACCAGGGTATATTCATTCCAGCCATTCCTCCCCCCCAACCTCCCATGGTCAACCTTTCTCCACAGGGCTTCTGTTTGTCATACTTAACACATCTGGTAGACCACAGAGATACAGAATTACATTGGTTTAAATAACTACAATGCAGTTCCAGTCTGACATAAAATTTTACCGCTTCCCCATGTATACAGTGCATTTTCAATAATAAAGTTCATAGGTAATTTGCTGACAGAATGAGGCTTTTTCCCAGGTAGGCCCCAAAATCTGTAGTCACATTTCTTCATGGGTGAAAAATTGAACTATGATATAAAACAACACAGCCACATTCAGCACCACAAGAGGAAATTGGTTGGCATGACTCTCACGATGCGTTGACTCCAGATACTGTACTCAAACTGTAAGACTCCATTAAAGAAGTATATATAACCTAGGGAGGAAGAATTTTATTTAGACAATGTGACAAATGAGTCACCCCAAATAACATTTTAAATCCCCTTTCTATTTTTTAGGTCCCACCAAATAGGTTGGTGCTTATTCATTTGTTCTTTAAAAAATAAATCCAACCAACAAGCATGTATTAAAATACTGCTATGTACTAGGTCTTGTCCCAGGGACCTAGTATTTATTAACATCCAAGAACAAATCTAGACTCCTAAAATAAGCATGTGTCCTATACATATCCTAATTATGGAAGAAAAAGCGTCTACCTTCCTAGACTTTGCTCCTCAAACTTGGATTCTGGTGATGCCAATTGTATCTTAAGATCTGAAGCTTTCTTTCCAAAATGTTAAGGGAGTGGGGGAAGGAAGACAAAAAGGAGGAGGAGGATACATAGGAAAGGATGAGGAGGAAGAAGAGGGAGAACAGAAGGAGGAGGAACAAGAAGAGGAGGGAGAAAAGTGAAGGAGAAGGAAGAGAAGAAAGAGGAGGAAGAGGAAAGATTAATAGAAAAATTGGAGAGAAAGAAAAATTACTGAATGGGAATTTCAAATGATTAAATATGTGGCTGTTGTAAAGCCTTTTCCTTTCTGAACCCAATGCTGCTAGTGGCTCAAAGGAAGTCTATAAATGAGGTACCTATAAACTGCAGAGATTTATATATTTTATATATAAATATATGATGTATATATATTATATAAAATGTATATATATTACCATAATAATTAGCATGTCATATTGTTGTAAATTTCCTTATTCATAGCATTTGAAACCAATAAATATTACCATTTTCATTTCACACAAAGTAATTTTTTTTTACTCTTTGTGTTTTCTACCTTTTATAATTTAAGTAAACTGTGCTACCTGAACAGCTAACCCAAAATTCCTTCCTATAACATCATTAAACATGTCTTAGGCCCATTTCATAGGACACATATATAGACAAATAGGACTAGTTTCTGAAAAGCAAATAGGGTAGAAATACCTACCATTTTTTTCATAGACAGCATCTACTCTGTTACCAATTCCAGGGAATTCTTCCTCGAGTAATCTGGGATAGCCTTCATTCATTGTGTGGTTAGTTTCATCATAGCTACAGCAATCAGAAAAAGGAAATCTCTTATCAGCTGGATAGCATTAGGAAAGGAAACTAACAGAAGGTCTTGACATTGAATTTCCTATTTGAATCCAAATCACCAGAAGTAATAATGTAATGCCAAGTACTTAATAGGGGCGGCTAGATGGCACAGTGGCTAGAATGCCAGGCCTGGAATCAGGAAGATTCATCTTCATGAGTTCAAATCCAAGCTCAGACACTTAAAAGCTGTGTGACCCTCAACAAGTCACTTAACTCTGTTTGCCTCAGTTTCCTCATGAATTGGAGAAGAAAATGGCGGACCATGCCAATATCTTTGCCAAGAAAGTCTTAATGGGGTCACAAAAAGCCTGACTGAAAAATGAACAAGCAACAACAAAAGGTACTTAAGTGTTTGCTCAATGCGGATTTGATAATTAACAAATCATGAAACCACAGGTACGGCATTTCAACTCTCTTGGTTTCAGTTCACTTATTTGTAAAATGAGGAGGTTGGACTAAATGATCTCCATAAGCCCTTCTAGTTCTAAATCTATGAACCTATGAGCCCTAAACCTATGATCTTACGATGGCAGTCTGAGAACTACTTTTTGCAAATTGATTCTGAGACCTTTCTTGATTCCATTAGGTAGATATCTAAATTGTAAGGATGCAATGAAAATGACCAACCAAGCTATGCATATTCATTCATTCATTCGTTCAAAAAGGTTTTTAAAAACCTACTATGTGTAAAGAACTGTGCAAGTCTTGGCAAAAGCTACAATACAGAGAACTGGCTTCTGTCCTCTGGGACCTTATATTGTAACAGGGAAGATAAGGCCTACTCATGAATGATACCTTAGAATAATGGAAAATGTATTAAACTTGAAGTTCAAATCTTTCCGCTAACACTTACTAACTTGGTGAGAGCTTGGGTCTCCAAGTCTACTTTTCCTTATCAGTAAAATGGGAATGATAACAGAACTTATCTCACAAAGTTGTTGTGAGAGTCAAATTGCAATTAAAGCTTTGGGGAAGCCTTAAAGAGTTATTTAAATGTTAATTATTGTTAAGGGCAATACCGGACAGTGTGACAAGTATCCTAAGAGAAGACCAAAAGTGTCCTGGGAGTTCAGAATAGGGAGAGAGCTCTCCAGGCTGTGGTGATGAAGGAAGGCTGGGTGGAGGAGATGGCATCTCAAGTAGTGCTAAAGAATAGGGGGTGATTTTTACAGGGAAAAATTAGAATGACAAGGACTTCTCCACTTGAGGTAACACAAGTACAAAGGCAGAAAAACACAACAACAAGTGTTAAGTAAGCCAATTTATAGTGCGGGGAAACAAATAGAAGATTAGTAGGAGATAAAACTAGGAAAGGAAAACTGGGACTAGCTATGACAGACTTTCAAATGTCCTTGAGGGCTAAAGCATTTGGACTTTTTTTTCTTTGCCCAACTCCCCAATGGGAGCTCCCACTTCTGAGTTGAAGACCTTTCAGAAAACTGTTACTTTCTAGCACTATTGAATGGTGTTGCCCGAAAGGGATAGAGATGGGTAGAGAGCAGACGAGTTTGGGAGTTCCAAAGAGAGGTACTATGATGACTAGTCCTGTCTAGGAAGGAGTGGGAGAGAAGTGTGAATTAGAAAGGAATGACTGAAAAGGAGACAAAAAAAGGAGGGTTTGACGTTGAATGAAAGTGCCTAAGTGGGAGTCATAATAGCATTGTAGCTGAGGCAACTAATTAGTAGACAATAGTTAAGGACCAAGGGTGCTTAGGCATGGGTAAGAGTAAGGGCTAGAGCCCTTTTTAGAAGACTTATAGTATTTTAAACCAATTCAACATTTATTAAGTTTCTTCTGTGTATAAGACATTGGGGTAAATACCGGGGATGCGAAGACAAAATGAAAAATTCCTTACCTCAAGGAGTTTACATTCTACTGGAACAATTAAAATTTAGCAGCCCCACCTGATTGATTTGACTATTTAAGAATCATTTTAAAAAATGTGGCACCTTTTACTTTGCATTGTCTTAGTGAGAGACTAAACTAACCTATATGTAAGAACTTTCATGTTGGCTAAGAGGGCACAGTGGAAAAGAAGATTCTGTAAGGATGGTTGCCCTACCTCCAGAAATGATCTCCAGTGAAGAACAGGGTCTTGCTTGTAGCTTCAATGTGAACTGCAGCATCTATCCTCTTCACCTCTTTTGGGAAACCCAGCTGAGAGATTTTCTTGGGGTACTCCTTCTGTATGTCATAGCCATTCAGGGCCCAAAACTTTCTGCCTAGGGTAAGTGGCAGAACAGCATTTCAGGATCCCAAGGGAATCTTTTAAAATGTACAGACATTTATCTTAATGAAAGAGGAGTCATAGATGACCTCAACACATGGATTTTGTCACCTCATCTTTGAAAGTATGAAATTACTAACATTATTCAAGCCAAGTTTAAATCCAACCCTCTCAATTTCCCAAACTATGAGTTCAACCACACAAATGTTTCCATGCTTTGCCAATTATTACTTCATATCTATGCAAATACATAATATGTGTGTATACATACATATAAAATACATATGTATTAAATTTAGGGGAAAATTTACATACAAAAATTCTGCATTAATCTGCAAGCAAGATAGCACTAATACTAAATTACAGATTGCTACTAGCTAGTAGATCATGGTACCATGGAAAGCAGGTTATTAGCTTTGTGACATTAGCCAAGTCACTTAATTTCCCTGAGCTTTAGTATCGTCAGCTGTACAATGAAGGTTCTAAACTAATGGTCTGTTAGTTTAGATCTGACATCTAATCTGTGATTTCAAAATTCTATTTTTCAAGGTTTACAAAGCCTTTGCCTTAATAATTAACGTTCAGTAGCATAAGGCCTATTGATCAAATTAAACTGAAAAATTTGACACCATGGCCTAAAATTAATTGCTTTTCAGCAAATTCTGGAAATGGCTGACAGCAATTTGAATCTTTCACAAATCAAATTTGGAGAGAGCTAGCAGGACTGTGTTGGGTGCTCTCAGGCATCAGATTGTCTTTACTCTTTCTGAAATCCAAAGTATTTACATCCCAAAGTTCTACAGATTCTGGAGTAGAATTGCAGTGGTTTTGAATTTGGTTATGTATATCCAGAAGGAAGAAAAAGCAGAGGAAAGCTCCCTCGCAGAAGACTTACCTCTAAAGATGAATATTAGGTCATGAGCAGGGTTCTCATACGCAGCATCAATACTGTTTGGAAGTTCTGGCCAAAATGATTTGGTTAAAAACAGATCTGGCTCAATCATCTGAGGATGCAGACGCCAGAAGAATCTAAGGAAGGCAAGAATAAAGAGTTGCTGATGCATGAAATGATGCCTCTTTCCTGTGCCTGTACAAACAGTAAGCACTTAATAAACGCTAGCTGACTGGCTGACTGTCTCCATTGGCCATTACAGAGGATCTACACCAAGTCATTGTGCACTTTCAGCTTCAATATTGTTAGGTTATAGGCATGATGGACACAGTCTTTCCATTATTTAAGAAAAAACTTTTATTTTTAATGCGATGTGGGAAGTACCATGGTTACAGGATTATTGTTTGTTCCAGAATTTGATTGGATCTTAAGATCACAACAATAGAGTTGGAAAGGAGCTCAGAGTCCATCCAGTCTAGGCTCCTCATTTTATGGTTGAGGAAACAGGGCCCATAGAGGATAAGTAATTGGAACAAAGTGATACAGGTAATGTGTCAGAGTTAAGATTTGAACCCGGGCTCTCAGACTCCTAATTCTCAGACTCCTAATCCAGCATTCACTGTATTGTACCTATGGTATGGAATAGCACCTACTATGTGCCAGGCACTGTACATACTAAGTGCTTTTTACGTATATTATCTCATTTAATTCTCACAACAATTGGGAGGTAAGCACTTATATTATTCCCATTTTACAAATGAGGAAATTGAGTCAGAGGATAAGTGACTTGCCCATGGTTAAACAGCTAGTAAGTGTGTGATGCCAGGTTTGAATCTGCCTGACTCCAGGCCTAACTTTCTATTTACTACAGCATCAGCTGCTTCTGATACCAACCACAAAAGTTAAAAAGGATTTCATCAAAAGTCTTTCCAGTAGTAAAAAATGATGTTGCCCTTTTACTACCACATTTTAAAATGTTTTTAGTAAGTTTTTTCCCTCCCAAGAATAATTTTTTCTTTCCTGAATTTAAAAACTTTCTATATTAGGAATACTTTTGAACTCTGGACATAACACCTAGTTTTTTAATGTACCATCTATGCAGTATATTTGCCTCCTGTCATTCATTCACACACAAAAGATTTTAAAATTGAACTGTTGTCTCCTTTTATCTAGAAATACTGTTAAGAAAGATTATAATGATGTAAAGTTACTATGTCTAATGCCAAAGCAATCAGTCACAAAGTGAAAAATTTAGTCATCCAATTTATCCTTGACTTCATTCTGGAGTGTGTGTGTGTGTGTGTGTGTGTGTGTGTGTGTGTGTGTGTTTCTTTATTCCCAGTGCTTAGCACAGTGTCTGACACATAGTAGGCACTTAATGAATGCATGTTAACTTGACTTGAGTTCATTAATATAATGGCACTCTCCTTAACAGATAATTTTATAGGTGACCATGTTAAGAAAATTCATGCATTTGTGGCCAAACTTTTTAAATAAGCCTTTCCAAATTTTCAGAAGTTTGGATGAAAATCGGTCACCAGTCCCTACCTCAAAGGTTATCCCAGGTAGAAAGATTTGCCAGAGTTTATGCTTCACTGGCAAAGCTTTCAAGGATCCAAGACAGTTTCCAGATCATTAGAGTTAAATGAAATAAACAAGTCAAAAAAAGGAAATTGAATTTTTTTCACCAACTTGATAGCATGTGTTTACTTGACAGAGATATGTTTGCACCTGCAGACATTGTTTCAGATGCATTTTTCAAGTGTTCATTCTTTGTCTTAATGTTGTACTTACCTATCTTTAAAAATTATTGTTTCTCCTCGAAGACTGGTGACAGCATCTAGTGATAAGGCAGGATCACATTTGTCTGGGGTTTTGGGATGTTTATGGTCAGGGTCTTCATCTCCAGGGCCTGAAACCATGAATTGAATCATAAGGATGGCTGCTGTTCTCTAATGTGAAATGACTGCATTTCATGTAAAAGTTACCATCCCATTGCAGTAGGCCACAGGACTGCTGTTGATGAGTCCTTCCCCTCATCCCTCTCCCAACATGAGATGGTAGAAAAAGCACTGCACAGAAAACCGAAAAACTTGTGTTTACATCCCACTTCCACCTGTAGGCTAATGGGCAAAACACTCAACCTTCATTTGCCTCCTCTGGAAAATATTCCTCTGACCCAGCTCACATAGTTACTGTGACTATCAGATAAGATTAACATGTACAAAAGAACATACATTGCAAAGCACATATGTATATATGTTATATAAAAGGTAGGAAAGGTAGGTTGTGTTTGAGAATTTTTGTTTGTTTGGTATATATTTGAGATTTCTTTGGTGTAGTGAACTCCTGGTGAGGGAACTCCTTCCATAGATTGCAGATTTGGGGGGGGGGGCAAGGCAATCAGAGTTAAGTGACTTGCCCAGGGCCACATAGCTAATAAATGTCAAGTATCTGAGGTCAGATTTGAACTCAGGTCCTCCTGACTCCAGGGCCAGTGTTCTATCCACTGCATCGCCTAGCTGTCCCCAACAGGAGGTAGATTGACAACTCATTTGTAATTTATGAACCTGAAGTGTTGTATGGGGCTCTGAGAAGTTACATGATTTGCCCATGATTACACAACTAGTCAATGTTAGATTCAGGGCTTGAACCTACATCTTCCTAATTCCAAAGTTGGTGTTCTATCCATCTTCCATGGATATTTTGAAACACCAACATACCAAAATTTTTTAAAAAATATGGAAAGTGTGATTTTCTATTCAGGCTTTCTGGATCATTTTAGAAAAATGTGGCCATATTCTGTCCAGATTTAATGGATAAGCTAATAGAAAGTTATTCAGAGCTTTAGAAAACTAAGACATGCACTCATTCTGGTTAATCATGGCTATCTATAACATACCATAAAGAGTCTGGATGCCTTGTACATCATCATCAGGAAGTACGAAGCCACTTTTGCCAGTGTAAGTATAGATGGGAAACATAAGTGCACCAGGATCCTTGGAATGGTCCAGGCCCAAGGAGTGACCAAATTCATGGGCAGCAACAAGAAACAAATTATATCCTATAAGAAAAAAAAAGTCAAACCCATTTAATAAAAACTCACTTTAAAAAAATTACAAAGCATTATTCAACAACCTTGTGAGGCAGGTGGTACAAATAATATTACACAGCAAGGTGATATGGTAGACAGAGCATTAGACATGGAATCAGGAAAACCTGAGAGCAAATACTGTCTGAGACATTACCAACTGTACAATCCCGAGAAAGTCACTTAACCACTATCTGCCTCAATTTCCTAAGCCATAAAATGGAGATAATAATAGAACCTACCTCACAAGATTGTGGTGAGAAAAGAATGAAATAATATTTATAAAGCATTTTGCTTTAAAGTTCTATATAAATGTTGTCGTTGTTATTTTTATTATTATTATAGTCACTTAATAGATAAGGAACTGAAGATCAAATAAGTAACTTGTTTATAATCATATAACTAGCAAATTCAAAACTGGGATTCAAACTTAGATATTGTGACTCCAAAGTCTAATGCTATATCAAGCTAATACTTTGATTTACCCTCAAAAAAAATGACCTTGTCTTATCCCTGGGGTGAGTGGTTTTGTACTTTCTATCTCACAGAGTTATATCCCTGAAGAAAGGTTTTGTAAACCTGAAGGCTTTGTATAAATATGAATTATTATTGTTACTATTACTATTGTTATTATTATCAATCTTGGAATTATTCACAAAGCACAATGGCTTGACTATAGTAGTTGACCAATATATGTTTACATAATTAAAACTTGAGTTTATTTAAATTGAATTGAATTTAGGTACTACTTCCTTGGAACCTTTATATTTCCATGCTCTCTCTTATATTTGTTATTGTTGCTCAGTCATTTTTCAATCATGTTCAATTCTTCATGACCCCATTTGGGTTTGGGTTTGCTATTTCCTTCTTCAACTCATTTTACAGATGAGGAAACTGAGGCATACAGCGTTAAATGACTTGCTCAGGGTTACACAGCTAGTTAGTGTCTAAGACCAGATTTGAACCCCGGAAGAGGAGTCTTTCTGATTCCAGGCCCAGCACTCTATCCATTGAGCCACCTAGGGGTTCACTGTGCCTCTTACTTGCCTATATATAGCTCTCACTTTATTTATTTTCTTATAGTTACCATTCAGTAGCATAAAATCAATTGATTTAAATAATTCTAACTTATCTGTGCATGCTGTTGATAATTTCTGGCTACCAAATTTGAATATCAATTACCTAAACTAAACCAGTTCATATGAATTCAGTGTGAAAAACTTTATTTTCCACCTCTCCTTTAAATGAGGTCAGAAAATTGGGCTGTTAAAATATGACAGGACACTCACTACACATGGAAAATATATACTAGTTGCATAACCCAGTACAGTTTTATATACAAGGTAACCAGCATCAAAAAGATCCCCAGCTTTGGATGGCAAATTTTCATTCCCAATACCAAAACACACATAAGGACGTACAATAAGTGGAAAGATATCTACCAGAGAAGTAATTGTTCTGAGAAACAGGACAGTAGGGGGCAGGTCCTATACATGTTTTGAGCAATGACTTCCTTTATAACAGTAGGAGATCAATTAATTCCTTTTTTTTCCCAATATTTCTTAAAAAAGACATTAATAATACTGCTGAGTTGTTTAGGCCTAAGGAATTCTAGATTTCTAGAAGTACAATCTTCAGCAAATGCTGGAATTCTTGAAAGCTACAGCAATAGAACATAAGCCCTGGTGAAGGCTACAAACCTGGTAAAGGTTTCACATGCAGGTACCATTAAAGACAATACGTCTGTTACCAAAAGATCACTCTCACCAAGTTGGAAGAGGAAAGGCATATCACCAGAGGGCTGACCTCCAGGTAGTGATTTTTTTTTTCTCCCATTACTACTCATGAAGGTCATCTACTAAGTTATCAGGGTGGGAAAATGGTCAGCTTGTTCTGCAGAGTTGGGTGGAATGGTCACATCTACAATGCAAGCACAGATTCTTGTAGGACTGAGGTATGCAGTTAGATGAGAGACAGACAGAGACAGAGAGATAGAGGGAAAGTGATACTTCTACATCTCTATAACACATACACATATGTTTATGTGCACACATATACATATTTGTATATATTCACTAATAGAAGTTTCAAGTGAATCATCATACTTTACACATAAACTTACATGTAAGATGATCCACTAGAACCTCCTATAAGTGTATGTATGTATACACACACAGGCAATATAAAGTATGATGATTCACTTGAAATGCCTATAATTTCTTACTAAAATGACCAAGTCTGTAGCCTAACCTAGAATTACTAGACTACATAGATATTTTAAAGTAAATGTTCAGTTTGAAATATTTGAATGAAATTACCTTTGGCACTATTTGTCCAGATCTCATCATCATCAAAATGAGCATCGCCTCCATAGTTGGGCCCAGGAGGAAAGGCGTGAGCCAGAAGTCCAGAAGGTCCATCAAAGGGGTAGAAGTCTCCATGTTCTGCAAATCAAAATAGCACTTAGCAATCCCATTTTTAAAATGGTCCAAAGCCCAAAAAGCATTTCTAGAGAGTGGCTCTGCTCTCTTACCTTTTATTCCAAAGGAGATCATGATATCAGCAGTACCATTGTGGAGCCTGGTAAAGTTGAGTGGTGTCACATCAGACCAGACCTTCAGGGCTTTTCTTATTGCTTTGTCCACTTCTGCTTGGGTCATGTCTGGGGTATAATTCAGGATCCTGTTCATCAGAGGAAACTAAAGTTAAATTTCTTTTGGGGTTTGTTATTTTAGAATGAACTTCCTTGGAAGGCTACCAGATATTTCACTGCACAGAGCTCTCTATTTAAAGTAGCTCATGATTTCCAAGATCTCATTCATGAATGAGTGAAGGCTCCTGGTCAACATGATTTCAAATCAGTTGGTGGAAAGTGAAAAATTCCAACATCTGCACACTGTTAAGTAGGCAGATGTTTGCCATCATGTAGACAAAGCCTCCAGATGTTTTATGGAACTTTTCATTTTGCATCCAGAAGTTTGGGGGTTTCTGTTGATACAGAAGAGACTTAAAACAACTACAAGTTTCCTAAAAAAGGAAACAGTTCATTTTTCTGCCTTTTGCACTATCATAGTGAATTGGTGTGACATCTGTCCTACATTTGTAAAGCATATCTTCCTAATAAGTCTTCCATGTCTATAATTATAATGCATTACAGTAATTCTCAAAAGAATATTTTGTTATTTTTAGAGGAAAAAAAAGGATTTTCACATACATTATGGTTTTCCTTCAAAATGTAAGGCAATTTCATGTTACAGTCTTTTCACAGAGCTAGGAAGAAATATCAGTGCAGAGGACATTTTTGGACTTGAATTCCACATACTAACTAGAAAATTATAATATTTTGTCAGGGCTATAGATGTCACTTACTTTTCTTATAACTCAAGTTTCCTATGACTGAAATTAGACAGTTAAACATAAAAATAGCAAATAAGTGACAAGGAAAAACCATCTAGCATTTTACCTGTAAGTTAAATCAAACCTAGGCCACTTTATATTTCTGGGGAAAAAGTTATATTCCCCCACATCAGGGACCCCACATCTTGGTTTTTTCATCACATCTAAAGTGTCATCATCCAGTTTGCCAGTCACTTCCAAGCCAAAGAATGACTGCATTTCTCTAAGTTTTTCTGCTGCAGTGCTCGATACCTTCTTCTTCAGGATGCCAGCAGGGTTAGAATAAAGATTGTAGTATGTCTTCAAATAGTTCTAGAAAAGGAACAGTGACTGTTATAATCCCAAATATCAGGCTAATAAGACATTCAAAAACACTGCAATATCCTACCTCTGCCAACTGGAAGTCCCCCTGTGTCAGGTCATCATCATCATCATCATCATCATCATCATCATCATCATGGGGTAGAGGGAAAGCTGAACAATATGTCCAGCTCAATAGAAGGAAGGCAGCAGCTATGACACTTGGCTGCATCTTGGCTTTTTACACTTGGAAGCTGCTGTTTTGCCAAAGGAATGGTGCCTTTACTTTTATAGACCTAAATTGATGAGTCATCTGTTATAGACAAGTTTCAACTTCCTAGTCAGTGTAAGGTAAACATGCTTACTCGACTACTTTGTTTTGCCCAAGAAGTTGTGGTTTGTGGTAAAATTTGAGGGAAATATAAAATGTGGGTCTCTCTGGTTTCCGCAGGGTCTCAAAACCTAGTTTGCAAAATTGACACACTAAGCAGATTTATGGTCACTGTGGGAAATGGGGGAGTCAATTTTTCTCTTCACATTGATTTTATTTTTGGCCATTTACCATGTTAATTTATTCAATGTTTCAAGAATTTGAGATTTGGACTACTTGGATGTTTCCTCCATATAGGGAGTTTACAAGCCCTCCAAGATCTCATAGATGGTAGCCTTGAATTTCTAAAAGAAAAAAAAAATTATCACACTAACAACGATCTCATAATGAGCTTTTACAAATCCTTCCAGTCACTCAGTTCCCCAATTTTGACATTATCCTTGACTCCTGACTCTCACTTATCCCATGTATCCAATCAATCTCCAACTCTTGTCATTTCTATCTCTACAACACCTCTCACATACATGCCCTCTTCTCCATTCCCACAGTCACCACCCCAGATCAGGTCCTCATCCCTTTTCATTAGATTACAGCAATAGGCTTCTACTTGGTCTCTCTGCCTCAAGCTTCTGCCCACTTGAAGCCATTGTCCACAGCCACCAAAGTGATTTTCCTAAAGCGTACATTGGATCACGTCATTTCCCTGATCCATAAACTCCAGTGTTCCCCATTTCCTCTAGGTTGAAATATAAATTCTTCTGCTTGACCTTTAAATCTCTTCACATCCTAGCCACTTTTTACCTTTCCAGTCTTATCCATTACTCTCCTTTTACTTTGCAATCCAGCCACACTGATCTACAGTCCTAAATACATGCCTTTTCCTTCTCTCTTTGTATGTTTTCACTGACTGTCCCTCCTATCTTTGATGTACTCCCTCATCACCTCCACCTCTTAGAATACCTTAAATCCTTCAAGAAAACCTTCAAGAAACTTTCACTAGCCATCTTCTACATGAAGCCTTTCCTGAGCTCCTTCCCCAAACCACCTTGTGTTAATCTAATATTTATTATGTATATGCTATATATGTGCATGTCATCATCAGAATGTCAACTCCTTGAAGGGAGAAACTATTTTGATTTTATCTTCATATCTTCAATGCTTAGAACTGTGCCTGGTACATATTGAGTGCTGAATAAGTCATTGTTGATTGATTCATAGGTTAATTTTCAAACAACAAATCAAGTCTTTCCCCTTTGGTAGCATCTATCAGAGCCTAAGCTCCCCGAAGAGCCATGGGTCATCTCTATCTCCCTGATGAAACATTGAAGTTGGACTTTATGATGAAGGACATGCTGGAAAGGTGTAGTACAGGATGAGCAGACATGGATGGATTGTATTGTATTTGTTTGTTTTTGTTTTTGTTTTTTTGCTAGGCAATGGGTTAAATGACTTGCCCAGGGTCATACAGCTAGTAAGTGACAAGTGTCTGAGGCCGAATTTGAACTGACTCCAGAGCCAATCCTCTATCCACTGTACCACCTAGCTACCCCTGGATTGTACTGTATTGTTAGAGGTATCCACATCAATGAGATCTCAAATCCGTTGGCAATTTGGAGTATTGAAAAATAGCTTTGCACATAATGACCTCCATTCAGAGGAATCTAGTGTGGATGGAAGAATTATAGGGCTTTTGACTTTAAGCTGACTATGTGAGTGAAGTGGGATTGGACCTGAACAAAAAGTCAAGGTATTTCATTACTATAAAATTAGAAATAGAAACTGTGATCATGAGGAAGAGGAAAGCCAATAGAATCTAGTGTGAACTCTGGATTTGGGGAAAGCAGATTCCAAATGACTCATAAATATGTTACCATGGGCTAAAATTCTATAAGGAAAGTCAGCTTAAGGCAAGTAGGAAGCTCTCAAAGATAAAAACCAAAAAACTCTATAGAGAAAAAGAGGGAGTTAGCTAAAAATACCAATGCGGATGCATAGGGAACTCAATTTTATCAACTTAGATTTGTAAAAGGCATGTATAGTAGATGCAGGAAAGGACAGGTAACAAAAGGTAAAAGTGTGGCACAGTCCCATAAAAATAGTGTCAGGATCTCTATACCTCATAGTGAACTGAGAAAAGCTAAGGATAACAAAGGCAACTTTTTACTATATTAACAAAATGTTGAAAATTAAAGAAGGGATAAGACTAATGCTCAGGGTGGATGGAATGATGATACCCAGCCACAGATAGAAACCAAAACTGCTCAGCTCTTATTTTGCTTCTGATTTCTCCATTAAGGAAAAATGATAATTGGACTAGAAAGAACAAAATAAAAATAGACACTAGGGATTTGACACCTAAGATAAGGAGAGAGATGATAAAGGAATGCCTAACTACTCTTGATCACTTTGGCCCAGATGAACTATATACCAAGCTGCTGAAATAAGTAGCAGATATCATTGATGAGTGACTGTTGGCAATATTTAAAAGATTGTAGAGGATAAGAGAGATGTTATATGATGGGAGAAGGGCAACCTTCTCAGTTTGTACAAAAAGAAGAGTAGAGTCTGAGAACATCTAGAAAAGGAGGCATTGGTCACAAAAAACCAGCAAAACTTCATCAAAAACAAGTCATGCAGATGAATCTTATTTCCTTTTTTGATAGGGTTACTAGATCTATGGGAATGCTATATAATTGATCCAGCATTTAGCAGAACATTTGACAACAGCTCATGCTGTTCTTGTCAACAAGATGGCCTAGATGCATGTGGCCTAGATGATACTATTTATGTGTATTTGGAAATAGCTGAATGACTGGACTCCAAGAAAAATCATTAATCATTGAATGTCAACTTGGAAGGAGATATCTAGTGGAATGTCCTTAGAATTTGTGTATGGCCCTGCACTGTTCAACACTTTTATCAATGGTTTAGTTAAAAGAATGGACAACAGGCTCATTATGACACAGGTATTGAGAGAGATATCTGACATGTTGGATGATAGAGTCAGAATCCAAAAAGATCCTGACTGGAGAGGCAACATGGCATAGTAGATAGGGTTCAGGGCTTGGAGTCAAGAAGACCTGAGTTCAAATCCTACCTTAGACTTGCACTAGCTGTGTAATCCATGGCAAATCACATAATCTCTCTGGGCCTCAGTTTCCTAATGTATGAAATGAAGAAGTTGGACTCCCTCTCTAGGATCCCTTCCAATTCTAAATATATGATCCTATAATCCTATGATCTTGACAGTCTAGCAGTTTGGGCTGAAATGAGTAAAATTCAATTTACTCAGGTTCAACAAATCAACTTTTAACAATCACAAGATAAAGTAGACAGGACTAGATCGAAATTTCTCTGGAAGAGATCTGGAGGATTTAATGGATTGTAAGATCAATATGAGTCAATGGGATAGTATGACAACCAAGAAAGTTTACACAATCTAAACTTGCATTAAGAAAAACACGGTGTCCAGTAAAAAGGAGGTGCACCTTGCCTTGGTTGGCAACACCACTATGTTCAGTTCCAGGCACCACAATGTAAGATGAGAATTGATAAAAGCTGGATTGCATCCTGAGAAGAGCAGATTGAATAAAGAAACACATCAAGGTCATGCCACATGAAAACTGGGAGAAAGAATTAGGGATATTTAGCTTGGAGAAGAGATACTGCAGAGGGACATTATCACTGTCTTTAGTATCTGAACTTTACATAATCTGAAGTTATGTAAAAGCAGGATGTAATTTATTCTGCTTGGCCCCAGAGGGGAGAACTTAGAGCAACTGATGAAAGCTTAGAGTGATAGATTTTTCTCTAATGTAAAGGAAAAACTTCCTAACAATTAGTGTTATCCAAAAAGAGAGTTGGATGCATAAGGAGGTAGTGGTTCTCCTTCATTAGCTAGAGGATCAATGTGCTGTTGACAGGATTCATCTTCAAAATCATCATGGGAAGACTAGATTATTTCTGAGGCCCCTTACAATTCTGTAATTAAGCCAAAGGAAATGAGATTTAAAGACCTCATCCAGCTGCTTCCTGGGAATTAAGATGACCAACACTGAATTATAGGATCATAGATTTAGAGCTTTCCTTGTTCATCCATCCTTCGTTTTTGAAGAGGACCAATGACATCACAGGGTGATGTCTTGATTTGCACATGAATTGGATTTAAGTGATGCAGAGTTGCACAAAGTTATCAGCCTCACTCTCTTTTCCAGAGTCATTGAAGTCTAGTGACAAGACAACCAGCAATGGCCTGGAATGCAGTGGGTGACTTTGGCATCTTTGATTTCTGACCTAGCTCTAAGTGCTCCATAGTACCTGCTTCAGCCACCTTCAAGGCCATTGGAACAAATTGTTCTCATCTGCCCTTTCTGTTGGGGGAAGTTTTCACATGTTTGGGGTAGACATCCCCCTAACTCACTGATGGGTTTGAGGCCTGTTGGTTACCCTCAACCTGGTTTAGCCTATATGTCAAGATGGTTTTACCAGGGTGTAGCTACTGTGCATGCTACAGCTTCTTGGAGCCACAGATGAGAGTTGAGTGGCAGGTGAACACCAAAGGTAGATGAGTAACCCTGAAAAGGGCTCAGCAACCCATTACACCAGAGATGCTGATCCTCCCTGAGCACCCCAGATTTTTTTTTTATTTAGTGCAAGAAGGAACTCTGGAGGCCATTGAATTCAACCAACTCAATTTTATGGATGAGGAGTCTGAGGCACAAAAAAGTAAAGTGAATTGCTCAGAATAACACAACTAGTAAGGGTTTGAGGAACAATTCAAGTTGTAATTGTGGATAGAGTGTTGGACTTGGGGCCAAGATCTGAGTTCCAATCCTGCCTCACACATTTATTGACTGCATGATCCTGGGCAAGTCACTTAACTTATTTGCCTCAGTTTTCTC